TTTATATATATTGCAGTTTGAGTACAGTCCTGTTATTACCTAATGCCACCCTTTATTTGATTAAAAATAAAAATAACTCGTAAGCTATACCAAAAGCTTGAATAAGCCCAGTGTATAAATGTAGTTCATTTTCATTCTTCTCATTAAACCACACACCCATGTTAAGTTGAATTCTAGAATCAAAATATTTCTGATAGTGCAGGAATATCTTAACTTGCTAAATATTTACACCGTATTTCACAATGCAGTTATAGGGTTTTTCTGTGGAGCACAACGTGGTTTCAGTGAATTCAGCGAGAGACGTTCTCCTGTTGGGATGTGGTTTCGGGGTCTGAACTCTTTAGTTCTCCAAAAGCACGGCCTACATCACCCCATCTCCATAAACCACATAACATATACTCCCTCTTTCTGTTGCTCTGTCGTCCTCTTCTCCTCTTCCTTTCATGTAATGCGAGTAGTAGAGCGCATCTCCTTTGTTTTTACATCTCGCCTGAGCGTTCATTTGATTAAAATTTTATAAAAACATTCCACTGCCTAGTTACGTATGGCACGAAGGGTCAAAATTTCAGAGGCTGCATGTTGTGGATTATATTATAAATAACTCTATTCTGTGCATTTTCCTCTGATGTCTTCTATGCATCAAGCCTTAGCCTCATGACTTTCCTGGACAAGCAAATTGTCAGGCTGCTGTGCAATGTGATACAATCACTGCAAATCAGAACATATCTGATGTATGATATATAATCATATCAAGAGGGTCTGTACATTATCGTACAGCACTGAAGTAGAGAATAGCTCAAGCAAGGTGAACGCTATCTCTGTTGTCTTCATAATCGTTCTCACCAGCGCACACTTAACCTTCACACTCACACTGACAACCAAACCTGGAACCTCAGAATAGAGTGTTTCAGAATGGCTGTATATAACATGCTCCCTTTATGTCCTGCACGTATGTACTGTCATAATGAAGACATTATGTATCATGTATTACATATTATCTGAGGCTTATAGAATTTTCAAAGTAGTATGTCATTTAATAATTTCTATACTTTCCTAAAACTACTTTTGTGTTTTGTGTGTGTGTGAGAAACCGCTCGTATACCTGTGGCTGACTATCTCAGATAGCAGATGCAGTTCATTGTATATCGACAGAAGAGATAATGAACAGTATAACCTCTAGTAAAACTGTTTTTAGCAAAAGGCGTATTCGAATTGAGGTCTGGGGACCCCCAGGGGGTCTCCAGAAGGGCCCACACTGTCCGCAGGAAATTTCAGTAAAAAAAAAAAAACAAGGAAAGAAAGAAAACAAATTTTGTTTTGGAACATAATTTATTGTAAAAAATGCTATACAAATAGCTTTAACTCATCAATGCACATCTCGAATAACAATGTTTATTTTGGCTCTAGTAACACAATTAAATCACAATTTTTTACACCG